GGCTTATTAAAAAATGTTGATGCTTCACATAAAGAAAAAAATACAAAATTACCAAGAAAGAAGGAGAATTCCTTAAAATAAAATACCATCAGAAACGTATGACCTAAACGGCATTTCGAATGAAGTACTATATGGAAGAATGGAAGGGGAAAAGCACTAACCCAGGTAACTTTTTAATTGTTTTTAAAATTGAGATACAATTCACATACATAATATTCACATTTTCAAGTGCAGAATTCAATGGATTCTTGTATATTGATGAAGTTATACAACCAACACCACCATCCAATTCCAGAACACATTCATCAATTCAAAAAGAAATATCATACCATTAGCAGTCATTCATTATGCCTCCCTATCCTAGCCTTAGCAATCACTAATCTACTTTTGGTCTCTATGGATTTACTTATTCTGGACATTCCATGTAGTGTATTCCATGTATTTTGTTTGGCTTCTTAGCATGCTGTTTTCAAAGTTCATCCATGTCACAGTATGTATCAATACTTCTATCTTTTTACGGCTGAATAATACTCCATTGTAAATACAGTTGGCCCTTGAATAACATAGGGTTTAGGGCCACCAAACCCCCTGCACGAACGTCTGTGTATAACTTTTGGCTTCCCCAGAACTTAGTATCTGCTAAGTTCTGCTCCTCAGTATCCATGCACTGGTTACAGGACATTCCCCAGTCCCAACTGCAGCGACCAAAATCCACAGATACTCAAGTCCCTTATATAAAAAGGCAAAGTTCAGTGCATACAGTTGGCTCTCCGCATCCACATACTACCAACTGTGAATCGAAAACAGTACAGGGTATTGATTGAAAAAAATCTGCATATAAATGAACACACGCATTTCAACCCAAGTTGTTCAAGTCACCTCCTACTGTGTGTGGCCTGGTCCCTAATTGGGGACCCAATGTAAATAATAGTACAAAGGCTAGGAATAAGGAAATTAAAGTGTACTGTCTTAAGCTACTTTGGCTATATGTAAAGTGGTATACTACTATCTAAGGTTTCACTGTGATTAATTAAAGAAGTATATAGTTTTAATTTGCATTTCTCTTATAGTTAGTGATCTTGAGCATCTTTTCATATGTCTATTGGCCACCTGTATTTCCTCTTTGGAGGAAATATTTTAATTGGATTGGATTTTTTTTTGTTGAGTTTTATAAGTTCTTTATATATTTTGGATATTAACCCCTTATCAGATATATCATTAGCGAATATCTTTTCCCAGTTGATTGTCTTTTGTTTTGTTGATGTTTTCCTTTGCTATACAAAAACTTTTTAGTTTTATGTAGTCCCATTTAAAACCACAATGAGATATCATCTCACACCTGTCAGAATGGCTATCGTCAATAGATCAAAAAACAAGAGTTGGTGAGGATGCAGAGAGAAAGAGAACCCTCATACATTGTTGATGAGATTGCAAATTGGTACAGCCTCTATGGAAAACAGTATGGAGGTTTCTCAAAAAATTAAAAATGGATATACCTTTTGACCCAGCAATTGTACTTCTGGGTTATTTATCCAAAGAAAACCAAAACAATAATTTATAAAGATCAAGGCACTCCAATATTCATGGCAGCACAATTTTCAATAGCCAAGATATGGAAGCAACCTAAATGCCCATCAACAGATGATTGGATAAAGAAATTATGGTTCATATGTACAGTGGAATATTACTCAGCCATTTTAAAAAAAATGAAATCCTACCATTTGCAATGACATGGATGGACCTAGAGGTTATTATGCTGAAATAAGTCAGAGAAAGATAAATATCATATGATTTCACTTACATGCGGAATCTAAGGAACAAAAAGAACAAACTCATCAAAAACAGACTCACAAATATAGTGGACAATTTGGCGACAGACAGAGAGGAAGGGGGTTTGGGGGCTGGAAGAATGGGGTGAAGAGTTAAAGAAGTACAAATCAGTAGTTGATAGCTGGTCATCGGGATGGAAAGCATGGCAAAGGGGAATGCACTTAGCATTAATATGATGGTTAGGTGTAGGGCCAGGGGAGGAAGGGAGAAATTGAGGGGACCGTTTTATGAACTATATAGATATCTAACTAATGTACTGTATATCTGAAAATAATTTAAATAAATTTAAGAAAAAGATGTATATAGTAAACCTTATAAGCCAACAATAGACAAAATGAATAAAACGTATCCAATTAATAAAAAATGCAAAATAGAAGGGGTATCCATGAGATAATACTGAAATAAATTTTTTAAATGCATAGAGGAGAAAGCTCTTCTTTATAAAAAGCCAGCTAATGTAAAAACAAGGAGAAATTTTTTTAAATCATCATTTACAACAACTATAGAAACAATTCTTTCCAGTAGGAATTATGAATAAATGTTAAAACTAGTACATAATAGTTTCAAAACAGGATATACACAAAGTATCTCCCCATACGATTATTAATTACAAAGTGAAAAAGTAACTTTTCAGTGAGAAACCGCATAGATACCACTTGAAACAAGTAACCAAACTTAACATCACCAGTACTAGGCCACATAATATCATCACCTCTCTCCTGATATGCACTGGGACATACAACATCCCTTTTGTGACATTCCTGCCCAAAGTATCTAACTAGAATTTAATAATGGGAACATCAGACACACCCAAAGAAAGGGACAATGCAAAATAACTGGTTTGTACTTCTGAAAAATGTCAATGGCATGAAATACTAAGACAGACACAAAACAGTTCCCAATTAAAACGACATGACAATTGAATGTAAGGTGACAACTGAAATGTAAGAAGGCATGATGCTGGCTTTTCTGTTGCTGTTAAAAAGACATTGGGACAATTGGCAAAATCTGAGTATCTCATATCTGGATTGTGGTAATTCAAGAGAATATAGAATGGCTTTGTTTTTAAAGAGAGGATATAAAGGGGGAGGGGAGAGAGGGAAAGAAGAAAAATGAAAAGGGGAGAAAAATGAAAAAGGGCGTGAGGAAGATGGAGAGGGAGGGAGAGAGGGAGAAAGAGAGGGAGAACTAAGAAAGAGAGAGAGGGGGAAAAATAGGAGGAGAAAGTAGAAAAGGAGGAGGAAAGGAGAGGGACGGTGAGAGCCAAGAATGAAGAAAATGCAGGAACATGTTAATGTTTGCAGAATTTGGGTGAAGGATATTGTGTAGTAAAAAACTTGCTTCACCCAAAGAGAAAAAACTGCCTTTGCGTTAAGCTTCTTGAAGGCAATCTATGTTATACCTGATAGGAATATCTTTGTTTAGGGCAGGAACTGGCTACACTAAAAAGGACAAGCCATGTGATTTAGGATGGGGGCTTTAGGTCAAGTGGTTATCAGTCCATCTAGGCAATCAATTGACCATACCTTGATATTGAAGACACGATAAAAATTCTGGACACTGAAGCTCAAGGGACCTTCTAAGATTGGCAATCTGCATACTGATGCCAGAATAGTAATGTGTCCTAAGGATAATAGAAGCGTTGTGTTTAAACCCTCACAGATGTTGCCCTATGCATTTCTTCCTTTGGATGAGTTCCCAATTAAAACGACATGTATCCTTTCCCCGTAATACTCTGAATGTGAATATAATAGGTTTCAGTGAGTTCTTGGAGTTTTTAGTGAATTTTGAACCTGAGGGTGTTTGGGGAACCCTCCAACCCCGATCCCCAACATACACACCACCTCCAAACCTGCAGTTGATGTCAGAAGTTAGAATGGTCTTGTGTGGGCTCTTCTAACTTTGTAGTTGGTCCCTAACTCCTTGCAATTGGGGTAAGAAGTCTTGGGCACACTTGGCATTCTGGACAACAGTGCTCTCAACCCCACAGTTTGGCTAAATCTGGGTGGGCAACAGAGACCCTTTTCTTTAATTTTTCCTGTAATAAATTTTCATAATGAATATTTCAATTAACGTCAATTTTACATAACTGAAATTATATAAAAATAAAATTTGACAGAAAAAAATATAGAAAAAACAAAATTTGCATTCAACACAGCAAAACTAATTTTCTTTCTGCATAACCTACTGAATTCCATTGCTCTAGTTATCTGAATTCTTAAGTTCTAGAAAGAGAGAAATGATTCTCCAGAGCTTGTGAATTCCTGCTAATCAGAAGGCTTTCTCTGCCATTGACAGCATCAATGCATAGAAAACATGGAACTTACTTTTATTTAACCATGAGGTTGTAATTTCTCCAGAGCAGCAAAAGTAAAATATTTAAAGATTTTTAAGTCTTGTTTTCCTTTTAACTAATAGTACTATGATGTATATAGTCCTTTCTTCAGTGAGTCATCTCATAACCTTTCTAAGCTATCAGTTGAAATGCTTTCAATCATACCTCCTTCAGAATTTGTTCTTATAAATTCCCATTATAATTCCTCAAAAAAATGTTTCTATAAGACCACACAGCCAAGTAATTGGATGTTACACATTCTTAATTTAATAGAAATATTTACATGAAGTGAAATATAAAACCAATTTTTGTTTCTGTTGATACATTTAAACATGCATGTTGCCTAAATAACTGAAACATAATTGAGAAATCCAAAACTGTCCTGGAAAACTAAACCAGTCAAAAAGTGTATGATCACAAATAATTAAAACTATAATAAAAATTAATACTGATTTGTATAATTTATTTTCTTGTATACCCATAAGAAACATTACTATTTTAATCTTAGTTTTGCTAACAAGAATAACTTTTAACAAAGTTGACCTATTTTAAATAGCTACAATTTCCTCATATTTTCCATTATTTTAAATATATTTTGACATTTATTTTCAAGGCAAAGAAACATAGACCTAAACCAGTGAAATGTACTTCATGATAAACACAAATGAAAAAATCTGAGTTATAATCTTAAAATTCTTTTATAAAGAGAATAGTCAGCCTATTTTTAAAAATCAGTTTAAGTATGTAATTGACTTGTGGAAGGCTTATATAACTTGAACATACTTAAAAAAGAGAAATAAAGCCAACATTATTTCTATACCTCCTCCAAATAGATTTATTCAAATATAAGTTTAAATAATAAGTTGGTTTAAAAAAAAAAAAAGCACTTTTAAATGGAAAAGTTCATAAAAAGAGGTATTAATCAATCATCAAATGTAATTTTTTTCCCCTGAAACACAGCAATTTTAGATTGCTGTTCTTTTCGCCTCCTGCTTGCTTCCCATGAAGGATGAAGAGGAAGCAGTGACTGCTGTTTTGCATTTTCAGGTCCTTTTTGTGAACTCTTGATAAATTGATTCTTGAGCTGAGGTTCATTCTGCTGAAAACCTGGGAGGAGAAAGCAAAAATCAGGAAAACTAACTATACACCCAAACAGCATACAAAGAAATATATTTCATTTCCTCAAATAAGTATTACTGAGGAAATTTAGTTTTAAATGAAATACCTAACAATTTAAACTCTAAGTCCAACAGGGAACAGTCTGAAGTTGAAATGTATATAATGAGCAGTCAATTTTGGGAAACGTGCTTTCTAATCCCTGTAAATAGATGTTTATTGCATGCTAATATATGCTTTACCGTCTTATTTACATTAATAGTAAAAAAGGAAAAGGAAACAATTCAGACAATGTGGAAGGCCAAAAAAAGAGAGTCATTATTACAAAGTAAATTACTAAACCTACTCAAATATAAGACAAAGTTCTGTTTTAGTCATACAGTTATCCACCAGATATGAGGGTGGCAACTTGTATTCTAATCTTTATAGTCTTTTATATATTATGAGGCACTTCAATTACATTACTTGGAACCACAAAGTACTGTTTGAGGGAGACACACTAGCTGAAAAGACATGAATAAATGCATGTTTATAGAATCAGAAAGAAAAAGGGAGGCAAACAATTTAATATAAATTTATTAAGCTGTCCTAAGAGCGCATAATTTCTCCACTGCCAGTTAGACCTCATTGTCAAAGGCCTTTTAAAGATCTCCTTTAAAAGCAAATGACACGATGTTACACAAACAAGTGTACACAGTTTGGGATACCACTGCCAGAACATCACTGTACATAGATTTAATTGTCCCATATCCTGTACAAATCACATGTGCTCTAGAAAACCATGTTATAGTACTTAAAAGGTGGCGCTAATGATGAAGAATTAAGAGTTTAAATGTTAAATGAAACTGTTTCATGAAAACTGAGATTTAAATAAGGCAATATTTCTGAACTAATATATATTTTTTATAATTAAGTAAATTTGTATGTGTAAATAAATTGATAAATATTATAAATATATAAGCTAAGCAAAAACAAACAAGAAACTCTTACATGGGTCTCCTCATTGGGAAAATGTGGGCGGGCCTTACATTTAGAGTTATTCTATGTAAACGAGGCAGATTGCCAAGGTTTTGTTGAACGTAGTTTTCTTTTCCTTCTGGGTACAAAACCGGAATGTATTTCCCATCATGCTACAGTTAGATGAGGTCATGTAACTGAGTTAGAGCCAATGCAAGGTGAACAAAAGGTCTAACTATAAAACCTCACGCTCAAGCCTCTATTCTCTCTCTTTTCCCAATGTGTCAAGAGAACTCCTAGAGGCACACTATGGGGAAGAATACAAGGAGCAGAGAGACTGTGATAAATAAGAAATAAAGCACTAAGATTTGGTAGTTATTTGTTACAGTCTCCTATGCATAATACTGAAAGTGCTACTGTGAAGTGGAGTACAGCCACTGAAATAACAAAAATTTGGCACTGGCTTAGCAGTTCAGCAATAGGTGGTAAGGAAATAGGTATCTAAGGCTGGAAAGTCAGCATCCTGTGTCCTAAAGAAAAAGGTAAAACTGTTGCAGTGAAAACTTGGGAAACGGGCTACATATCTATGGAGTTTGTAGCACTAGGATAAGTGGTTGGAAGGGATGAAAAGATTAGTGTAATGGTGGCTCTTTGGCAATTTACTACGAAAGAAAGGAAAGGGAAAGGGAAAGGGAAAGGGAAAGGGAAAGGGAAAGGGAAGGGAAAGGAAAGGAAAGGAAAGGAAAGGAAAGGAAAGGAAACGAAAGGAAAGGAAACGAAAGGAAACGAAAGGAAGAAAGAAAGAAAAAAAGAAGAGTTCGGTAAAGAATCAGTCAGCTCACAGGCAGAAACTAAGGGAACAGAGTCCAGATATTTGGGAACTTAAGGTTTACAAAAGCCTTTGAACTACAAACAGTAAGAGATAAACCAAAAAATTTAAGCAGTAAAGGCCCAGAGAGATTGAGCCCTGACACAGAAGTAAGAGTAAAAGTATGGCCTTCCCAACCAAATCTGAGAGTTCCAATACAGTCAACACTGAATGATGGTGGGGATGGCAAAAAAAAACCCCACAAACAAGGCAAGTTTGAGAATTAGCTTTAGGAAAGTTTTGGTGTAGTGACTAGCTCATGGATGGACTGACTGGAAACAAAGAGGTCAGAAATCCCCTAACTTTTTGAGGGAATTGTATTGTAAAAGAAATCACATGCCTGGGCTAGAAAAAATCTGACTATTAAGACTTTAAACCGTCTTTAGGATCATATATTTTTACCAGTCACTTGGGGCAACCCCCAAAGGAGAGCATACTAATGTCTACTTCAGATGTGGCCATGGTAAAAAGACCCTCCAAGAACACAGGGACCATGAAGAACGAGTTCCTCTCAGATCCTTCACAATTTTCGCTCAGATAGAGGACACGTTCTGTGCCTCCCAGTTTTCATTTAACTAATTGAGAGTTTTTATTGTAGTTACTTTGCCCCTGCTTTGTCACTAAGTATTTGGTATGTAGTCTGCCTTTTTAGTGCATAGGCCAGCCAACTTTGAGCAGCCAGATCCATGAGCTCTGATGGAAAGCACCGTATCATCATTGAGTGATCTTGGGCTTTGAGCTAGATGCAGTGACTGAATGGAACTTCTGGGTGGCTTCGTTAGGAAAGAGTTAAGTGTGTTCTATGTGTGGGACGTAAAGTGAAATAGGCTCTGGTCATCAAAAAGATGGTCATACTGTGTTCAAGAAATTCCACTTTTTTTGTCCTCCTAGCCACACAGTCTGCATTTCATAGCCCCTTGGGCTAGATGGGTTCGTGTAATTGAATTGTGGCTAATGAATGTGAGAACTGATTCCTGCCACTTTCAGGCCTGATCCATGAAAACCTCCTGCAAACTTCTCCACGTACTTTATTCCTTTCTGTCGGTCAAATGAAGACTACCTGGTAACTAGAGGAGGAAGGAGTCAAAAGAACAAGCTAGATCCTTGAATGACTATGTGAAACAGCCTCTCTGCTGATTCAGTGGACTGTGAAGTGAATGAAAAATAAATTTTTGTTTTAAATCAGTGAGAGTTTGGAATACGTACAGAACTCAGCCTACCTAAATATATTAAACTTCATTTGTTATGAATTAATCTGAAAATACTTTGATTTTCCTCTTAATGCAGAGAGGAACAATATATTAATGGCATGACACTAAGATATAACTTATATAATAGTTTACTTAAAGACTGTATTGAATTAGTTCAAGGTAAATTAAACAGACCCAATATTTCCCAATAACTTTTGTCTATATCTTTCCCACTGGCAAGACATAGAGGGAAAAAAAAAATTTAAATTAAAAAATATGCTGATAATTATAAGATGCTCTGTTTCCATTTCTGTGAGTATATAATTCATTCATGTTATTAAGCAACCAGAATTTTTCATCCTTCCGTTTTGGCAAAGTATTACTTAATTGCATATGGAGGTCAGGCAGCCATTAATACATACCTGTGGTGTTGCTTTTCGGAGCCTGTTCTTTGTAATTTCTAAAAGAAAAAACCATTAGGACTTTAAAAAGATAAATAAACTCTCTGACTTAAGAAGATAACATAATAAAATTGATGATAAAACTCATTCAATAAACTATAGTACTCCCTCATCCTACCAGCAATCTATAAAGAAATGATCAAAACTCCAGGTTTTAGCTATATCAAAAGTTTGTTAGACTCCAATGTTATTACAGAAATGCCGCGTCCTCTTTCTACCCTACTGCGTGACAAGGTCCGGAGATGGGGACAGAGGCTTCAAGGAATGCATCGTCAAGAACGAGGACGTGGCATGTGTTTAGGGATAATTGGTTTCTTAGAAATGATCCTATTAATAGGGGGAATTTCGGTAGCACAAATTCTAGTAAGTGTAAACGCTATACAAATGGATTTCCTCAAAATTGGCTCTGAGGAAAACATAGTAAATTCCCCGCGTATGGAATCAGCTCTAGTCACCCTGACATGTCCAGAATGCGTAAACCCTTTATTTGAACAATTATTAAG